CTAATTAGCCAGTCACTTCATTTGGATGGAATTAAACTGATTTCAGATAATAAAGTAAAAGAATCTTGGTGTTATTTTTTATCAGGACCTGTCATTTAAATCCCAGATCAAAGAGGTTTCTAGAATTTCCTTTTTTCATCTGAGGAACATTGCAAAAATTAGAAATATAGGATTAAAAGTGCAAGTCACAAGCAGAGAGAAGGAGCATGCTTGTAACATATCAAGGGCCTCATGGTATTGAATCTGCATATGCATGCATTTTAAATAAAAATGCTCATATTATTATCATCATTTATTACCATTTTGCCCCTTTGGCAGAATTCTGACTCACTTAGAGATTTCTCTTTTACATGTTTGCTGTTTTTGAGCTAAGGTTTTCTTTTCTTCTCACCACTCATGTGGAAATTCTCTGTTGTTTCTATGGACCTCTTGGCCTGTTTGCCTGAATAATGAGCACCAGATGAAGCTGTTATTGGTGTAATCATCTGCCATCCCCTGCTTTGTGAACTACTTTCTGTTGATCCAGCACATAAAACACCCCACCAAACAACCCTGATGTTTGAGGTAGTAACAGAACAAACTCAGTACTTAAGGCTCACCTGCAGTAAGGTAAGGTGAGGGTTACCCGGTGCATGTGCAGGCCTATATTTGTGTCTGCACAGGTGCGTTCACTCAAAAACAGAGACATATTGTAGAGATAAGTGAGCTGCAGATTAGCAGGGACATCACTGTCCACCCTCCGTTCTCCAGCCTCGCCTCGCCCTCCTTCCACTCTAATCGCACGTCTAATTGACTCAGCCAGATTTGGCAAGAGGCTTATTAGTGTCATTTCACACAACAAGGAATGACCTATGCAGATGGTGCAGCAGTGACAGTCAAGATGGAGAGCACACTTTACGGCTGGAATCCAATATAACCTATAAACAGAGCATTCATTCATTCCAGTGTTTTAGTGGCTTCCCTTTCCTACTAAGAATGATGCCTAATCTAAGTATGAGGTTCTATAGATGTATATTTCTCAGTCCACCCTAAGCTTGAAGTAAAAATTTGATTTTGTTTTTACATTTTTAGAATAAAAATTGGTGGCCGTGTGTTTGAGGGGGTTGATCAGGGTGGGTAAATGAAATGTGGGTTATTAACCTAGTTCTTATTTTTAAACACTTTTTTGTCAAGGCAAAAGGCAATTAAAGGCAAATTTATCTGTATAGCACAATTCAGTACAAAGACAATGCAAAGTGCTTTACAGGATTAAAATATAGGAAAATAAAGCAGAATCAAAGCAAGCAGGAATAAATAAATAAATAAAATAAAAAATGCAGAAACAAAAAAGAATATTAAAAACAGTCGGACTAAAGAAAATAAAAAAGTTGAAATAATGGATGTTTCAGTTGAACTGTTTATCCATAAATATGAATTTAAAAGAAAGGAAGACATGTTTATTTTGTTTTGTTTTGTGCATTTTTTGCACTTTTTTCCATTATGAGATGAACATAAATAATGGCCAGTTTCAATGAGTTTCATTTATTTTCAGTCTTTTGTTGCCTTTGTCATGTTATTTTTTTATTAAACTGTATAGAGCTGTTTCCTGCTTTCCATTCCTATCATATCTACAGACAGTTTTTCTTCACATTTTACTTTTAAACTGTATCATATTCTGGCCTTCAGCCGTGCGCCACCCAGTGATTATGTGCCCCCTTTACTCTGCGCCCCTTAAAAAACTTTCTGTACCACTGTTGGAATGAATCCAGCTGTGGGTGTCTGTGCAGCAGATCTTACCGCTGTGAGCGCTGAACCAGCGGGGTGCGATGTGCAGGGGTAAGGTGTCAGCCAGCGACCCCCGGGACCCCAAATAGAGCACCCCGTCCGTGTGATGCCCTCCGCCCCCAGTGTCCTGGTAGCCGGTGCCATGCGGGGCCGCCGTAGTGCCCCCTGACCCCCCACCGGCGCGCTCCGAGTCCGTCCCTCTGGGGGTGTAGAAGCCGAAGGGCACGGCGGGACTGTGCTCGATGCCCATCCCGGCCACGGAGCTCACCGAGCGGCTGCGCAGTCCCATGGTGCCGCTCGGCCGGTAGTGACCGAAGTGGGCCGATGGAGGCACCGCGCTGTCATCCGAAGAGACGCCGGGAAAAGCACCCCGGGGCCGCCCTGCCGTGCTCTGCTTCCCCCCCATCCAAAGCGGGAGAGAAGAGGGTGGGGGTTTTGGTTGGATCGAGAGAACCCAAACAGGCTGTGCCCCCCCCGTCCCTCCCCTCGCTCCTGTCTGTCTGTCTGTCCGTGCGTCTCAGCTGTGACTCTCTGCAGACGCAACAGCGCGTTTCCCTGCTGAGCGGCACATGCGCCAGCCCTCACGTCTGGATTCACCTCAACCCGCAGGCAAATGATGACAACTGAATGATCAGAAACCCAAACCGGAGGGTGGTGGTGGTGTAGGTGGGGGGCTGCTGAGCTGAACCAAACCCCTGCAAGGTTAAACAGATGCGCGCCGCTCCCCGGCGCTGCCCCAGCTGCTGAATCACCCCGGCCGGCCCGGTTCACAGGAGCGCCGCAGTCTCTCCACTCATCTGATCTCAGACATCGTGACAACTGTTGCTGTCTGTCTGGAGGAAAAAAACAAAAAGAAAAGACGGTCTGTTTTAGGAATAAATGACGTCGTCACCAAACGCTGGTCCGGTCCGATAAGCTCCAACCAGACGACACTATCCTCCGCCTCATATCCCCCCCACCCCCCACCGCTTCCCCGGAGATCGGGGTCACAGTGAAGCCGCTCCCCCTGCGCTCAGATCGGGCGCTCCTCTCAGCTCCTCTCCGCTGCTGCTCCTGGACAGACAATGGACGCGCTCAGTGCGCAAGCTCGGATCATCGACACAGACAGACCGAAAGACGGAGCGGAGACACTTGGTTTTAATTCCTCAGGATTTGCTGGCCTGGATTTGTTTACTGCGCCTGGGGGGGCATTTCAGGATAACCTGTGACAGGTGTGGTGAGGCCAGCGGTAGCTGAAGGGGGGGGTGGGCTATGTGCATCAGTCCTTGAAGGAAGAAAGTGATTAAATGTGCAAACCTTCCAAGCTTCAAACTGTTTCCCATTAAATTAAATAGGGTCTCCATCATTTCTATAACAGTTTTGCTCTATTTTCTCCTTTCTGTGTGCAGGCTCATAGGTTTAATAGCTTGTATTAATGTGATAGGGCTGCCCACTTTACTTAGAACCAGTGGCAAAAGAAACAGATCATCTAAATGTGAATGTTTAGGTGTTAAACATTGATGGGTTTTTATTATTTTAAAACATTTTCAGGGTTTGGTTGAGGTTTTGAGGACCTAAATGTGAACTCTAGAATGTTAAGTCTAGAAAGGAGCTAGGGAAAAGGAGACCAACACCAGAGGGCAAACAAGAACAACTAAGAACTTAAATACATCCAGAAAACACCATAAAATAGGAATTAAATCAATAAAACTAGGAAACTAAGAAAAACATGGATCAAAGTGAAACTGAAAACTCAAAAGAAAACGTAAACAGAACAGAGAGCATGACAAACATTGAATATTCTGATGTTGATGTTAAGGTCAACAAAATAAAGAAGTCAAGTCCACAAACTGTAATTATGATCCAAAATGCTGCAGCCAGAGTTCTGATGAAAATGAAAAAGAGAGATCATATCTCTCCTATCCTGGCTTCTCTTCATTGGCTTCCTGTTAAATCCAGAATAGAATTTAAAATCCTCCTTCTCACATATAAAGCCTTAAATGGCCAAGCTCCATCTGATATCAGAGATCTGATTGTTCCTTATGTTCCTAACAGAGCACTTCGCTCTCAATCTGCAGGTTTACTAGTGGTTCCTAGAACTTCTAAAAGTAGAATGGGAGGCAGATCTTTTAGTTCTCAGGCTCCTCTCCTGTGGAACCAACTACCAGTTTTAGTCCGTGAGGCAGACACCCTGTCTACTTTTAAGGCTAGGCTTAAAACTTTCCTTTTTGATAAAGCTTCTAGTTAGAGTGGCTCAGGTTATCCTGATCTATCTCTATAGTTCTGCTGCTATAGGCTTAGACTGCTGGAGGACATAGGGACCCCTTTATCATCATTCTGCTTCATTCTATCTCTATTCTCCCACTCTGCAGAATCTGTTAGTTCAATCTCTAACGTTCTGCTCTCTCTGCTTTTTCTCATAGTAGCTTCATCTGGTCTGTTCCTGTTTGGCTGTGACTCCATCCTGGAGAGAAATATCAGCTGTGCTGCTGCCATCAACACCTTTGTTTCTAGATGTTGGAGCTTGGCCTGTTTTCCAGTGTAGTCCTGTTTCTCTGACTGTGACTAACTGGATGTGCTCTCTTCATCCTCTGACATGGGAGCTGCCTTGGAGCTCGTCTGCCTGGCTGTGTGTTTCCTGGATGGGGCTGCTGTTTGTATCTCTGCTTCTGTCTCCTTGAACCCCAGTCGGCCTCAGCAGATGGCCGCTCACACTGAGCCTGGTTCTGCTGGAGGTTTTTTCATGATAAAAGGGAGTTTTTCCTCTCCACTGTCGCTACAAGCATGCTTAGTGTGAGGGATTGCTGAATATTTAATGAGTCAATGCAAAACTGGTTTTCCTTAGATAGAAAATCAATTTGACTGGATGATCTGGTGAACTGTAAAGTGCCCTGAGATGACATGTGTCATGAGATGGCGCTATATAAATAAACTGAATTGAATTAAAATGTTTGAACTCCAAGAGTCCTTTCTAATTATCTGTTGTCTAATTTTTAAATAATTATTCTAATTGCAAACAACCATTCCAGTCTTTAAGTAATTACAGTAAAGTTAACAAGTACTTTTATTACAAGACAGTTATTGGGTCTCATAAAATATTACAGTATCTTGCAAAAGTTAATAAGCAACTTACATTTGTGTAAATATTGTGTCGTTTCTACAGCACAACACTGAATGTGCAGATAAGTTAAAGCTGTAATGGAACAGCTTGTAGAACAGTGTAAATTTGCTGTCTTTAAAATATCTCAATAGAACATTATTAATGTCTAAACCGCTGCCAACCTAAGTGAGTAAACATTTAAGAGAAGATGAGCAAATGACACTCAATATGTTGGTGGTGTGTTATGACACCATTATTCTCCAGTGCTGCAATGACTCTCATGGGGATTCTTCCATTTGTCCCTAAAATCTTATCTGGAAGGTCTTTGCCTTGCAATGAGAAGATTTATATTCACTGACTTAAAATCCCCCAGAAAAAATCCCCAAAGGCTGGAGTTTTCCTGGAAATTCAACACGAAATAACAACAAACACCTAAATGATTGATTTCTCATCCTCTGTACCAAGCAAAACTCTCTGAGGTATGTTAGGGGATGTGTTCATGTTGGAATTCTGTCTTGTAGCTGCAGCAGAGGGCTCTCCCTCTGCTGCAGCATGTCACAGTTCAGTACATGTTAGTATTCATGCTTCCTGCCATAAACTGCAGCCCTAAAACCCTCCCACTCGAATTCAACCCTTCCATATTTCTTCTGATCTGATTCGATACTTGAGTGTGGATATCTGCAGAATGCAATACTTTTCAACAGCAAAGCTGTATTTACTTTGATGTTATTGTTACAGCCAGACCCAGTAGACCATAACAACAGAATTGGCTTCTAGTTATAAATAATTAGAACTGCGAGTCATAGTTAATTAATAGGTCATTTAAATCAAGAGTAAAACCAATTAATGATTATGAGTGAAATGATTATAACTGAAATTTGCTTACTCACCAAGGCTCTTTACCCAAGGTTGGATTCTGGACCATGCAGCTGTTACAATCCAGTTGTGCTTCACACATTTAGTGATTTAGACTATGGTTATTAGCAGAGTTATTAATCACCAGCCAAATGAAATTGTCTCTGTTTCTTCCAGTGCTGACCAAAATGGCGGGATCTGACTCTGAATGATAAATCCATCACTGGATAAATAATCACAGGTTAAAATATCTGTATTTTTATTTTCTAATAATCGCTATTACAATATTATTGTATCTGATAACTATCCAAACATAACACACTACTGACAATAAGCACAAGGTAAAGCTATTTAAAGAGGAAAAAGGGGCATCATGTATTTTTAAAAACAGTTTTTTTAATGATGCTATCACGGGGCCAAAACACAGAACTGTAGCACTTTTCTGCTCGTTCTCGTAGCTGACGCTTATACTTGACACGTTTTTTGTTTTTACTTTTTTAAACTTACCTAGAGTTGCTATTGATGTTTGAGTTGAGCTGGATTCCAGGCTCGTCTGAGTATCCACAAAATCCACCTTGAATAAAACGCTTCGAATATTTGCTATGTCAGACCCAACATGGCCGCGCTCTAAGTCACATCTGCCGAACAGCATTGGAACTTCCTACCCAAAGTATAAAAAGAAAAATAGGCTACAGGCTTTTAGGTGCATCAACACTAAATTACTGAGGTGCCAGTCTGCTCATCAAAACATGTTTTAGTCATAAAGGGTCAAATAAAGAGGTTGTTTTAAAGATACCCCTCGGAAAAAGATTTCAGACCGAGCTTGGTTCTTACGACCATTTATAAATCACGCTAGCAAGTTTTCCTCGCCTCCTATCGGCGGTCCACGATAGTACAGTTCGAAAGGTGGGAATTGTGCTAATAAAACATTGAGGAACTTATGTGCCTGGATAGCGTCCTCCGCCCAAATTTCAATGAGAACCTCAGTCTGGGCATTATCCCAGTTCGCACCATGCTCTTTTGATTCCATTAATTGTTAATAGGCTGAGAAGAAGGTCATGTTGTAAGAAGGGGAAGAGATCTGTGAATTACAAAGCCGGACACAGCGGAAAACCTACAATAAGAGTTAGCTGACTGTAAATAGGAGCTGACGCGGTCTGCTCATGCACTCTTTGTTATCAGAGAAGCCACAACTGTTGAACTAGTACTAGATTTAGTGCGATTGGGTTGTGTCTAGCACGGTCAAGGTTAGTTAAGTTCCACTTACACTCTACAGTTATCTCGGTTACCGTGCTCCGACCGTTCTCGGCACTGTTTCAAAATGGTAATGTAAATGTAAATCTTTAAGGCTTGGTGGGTTAATGCATTTAAAGGTGTCCTTTAAAATAGCAGCAGATAAGTGTATTGATGCATAGATCTTAAATGCAATCAAAACAGAGAAAGTTCATTCAGTTTTGCAGTGAATAATGAACAATAACTCAGAAATGCATTCAAATGTAGCAGCATGGTGGCAAAATGAGTTAACTCAGATAGCACCAGAAAGCCTGGCTACAAGGCGGGGTCGAGTCAGGTCAAACTTCATCCAAAATGGCCGTCACAATGTGTGGCTGAAGATGAGGTAGGTTGAAGCTAGAAATGATAGCCAATCCAACCGTAGTACTCTGACTTTTCAGACAAAGGGAAAAATAAACAAAGACAAAAACACAGAGCGACGGTCGTTCAGTCAGGTTCAGTGAGCATTAGCATTACATGCAAAACCATCAACAATTTAAATAAAAAAAATGTAGGTCAAATAAAACGACCAACTACAACGCATGGAAAAATATCTATTCTAACCTTGCCCAATCTTTTAGTACTTTAGAAAGCATCAGATTAGAAAGAGCTGGTTGCTGTCTTGGTGGAAAGGAGGGGATCATGTCTGGTTCAGTTCAGCTCAGGAACACTCATCCAACAGGCAGCTCTGGGAGAGACTTGAATTCTTCTTTTTTTTTTTTATGGAACTAGTGGCTTGTTTTTCTGACAGTAGGCTGACAGGAAAGGGGGTATGAGTAAGAGGGAGAGACATGCAGCAAAGGACCACAGGCCGGTTTCGAACCTGGGTCGGCCATGTTGTGTTGGGATCCAGAGGTTTGCCCTCCAGAGGTTTGCCCTCCAGAGGTTTGCCCTCCAGAGGGTGATGTGGATCCCTTTCTGAGGGTTCCTGCTGTCTGTTGGGATCCAGAGGCTTGCCC